TTTAGAAAACTTATTGATTAGAATATTTGTATGAGATTGTATAGGGGAAAATACGGAATAACAGATACAAATTCGCTTAAAATGTATATGGAAGAGCAGTGTAAGCGATGGAAGTCAATCACGAAATCTTATCATTGAGATATTTGTAGAATAATTGGAAGAATTCTTCCAATTTTTCTCTTATTTCTTCTTTTTCTTTTTTCTTTCTTTTTTCTTTTTTAAATATATGTGTGCCTATCTGAAAAAATATATTACGATATGTATTTGTATGTATTTTGCTTGTATCTTGTAATAATTTATGTTAAATAAAATATAATAAAAGAAAAAAGGAAGCCACTGGGCAGAAGATGGGCAAAAGACAAGACAACCCCACAGAGAACCTTGCAGACGCAGAGAAACGGTTGGCTTTTTGAGGACTTTATTATCATTTCCACATCTGTTTTGAGTTCCCTGTTGAGATCTGCAGATGGGAGCACGAAGGTGTCTCAGGGGGAAGGAAGCTGAGAACACCCTCGTCCCGTTTCAGGATCAGTGGATCAACAAGCAAAAGGGTCTGTGGCCCCCCTCCCACAGCTGCCCCCCCCGGCTGACTCCCCTGATGGGCTTGACCTTCATAAAACTCCACGGGCCTTCTGAAAACTAAATTCATTTTACCCCTTGGCCCAGCTCATTTGACACCAAAGCTCAGGAATACTACCAGGATAGTGTCGCTTCCCACTAACAAAGGCGCATTGTCCATTTTTGCACCTATTGGAGGAAACGTACATGGGATCGGCTTCCTCCCAGGGGCCAGTGGGGTCAGCTGTGAGCTTTCCTAGGCCCGCCAGAGACTTGTTCAAGCTCAGGGATTCCGGCGCCCGACCTCGTCTAGACTGAGATTCCCTTGGAAGTTTGGGGAGGAATGAAGAGGAGGTCGAAAAATGTAGCACAAGAAAAAGTCGCGGAAACACACCCGAACATTTGGCTTGAAGGTTGGGGTGCTCCTCAAGCCTGCAAACGAGCAAGTCTATCCCCAAATTAAGATCTCGTCGGCGGGTTTGCACAAGGTCGAAGCAAGCAAGCGTAACCAAAGCGAGAGTGATAATTGGCATTTCAGGATTCGGGCAAGCGATGAAATGTGACAAGAAGGACAGGGAAGAAAGTCCCCTTGGGAAACATGCACACATTTAAAGCACTCTTAAAAAAGAGACATCACCTTGCCAACAAAGGCCCATATAGTTAAAGCTCTGGTTTTCCCAGTAGTGATGTACGGAAGTGAGAGCTGGACCATAAAGAAGGCTGATCGCCGAAGAATGGATGCTTTCGAATTCTGGTGCTGGAGGAGACTCTTGAGAGTCCCATGGACTGCAAGAAGATCCAACCGATCCATTCTGAATGAAATCAGCCCTGAGTGCTCACTGGAAGGACAGATCCTGAAGATGAGGCTCCAATACTTTGGCCACCTCATGAGAAGAGAAGACTCCCTGGAAAAGCCCCTGATGTTCGAAAAGATGGAGGGCACAAGGAGAAGGGGAGACAGAGGACAGATGGTTGGACAGTGTTCTCGAAGCTACCAGCGTGAGTTTGACCAAACTTGCGGGAGGCAGTGGAAGACAGGAGTGCCTGGCGTGCTCTGGTCCAGGGGGTCATGAAGAGGCGGACGCGACTAACGACAACAACAACTATGCCACTTTCAATGCCAAGGTTTTTTGTCCCTTGGGACTAAATCATTTTGAACTTCTGAAAGCTTTGGGGCTTCTTTACACCTGCCAGTTTCTCCCTATTGTGCTTAAGTAAAGATCCATGCTCAACTCAGTATTGCTAAAGGAGGGAATGAACTCCTTTGTGGAATCTGCCACTAAGGTGTGGGGAGCCAGATTCTGAAGCCGAAATCTCTGATTGGCATGAATTAGGTAAATCACTTGACAATAGGCAGAGGGCCTTCTTTGGTGGTGGTGCCTGCCCTGTGGAACGCCCTCCTATCAGATGTCAAGGAAATAAACAACTATCTTACTTTAGAAGACATCTGAAGGCAGCCCTGCTTAGGGAAGTTTTCTATGTTTGATGTTTTATTGTGTATTAATAATATGTTGGGAGCCACCCAGAGTGGCTGGGGAAGAAGAGGAGGAGGAGGAGGAGGAGGAGGAGGAGGAGGAGGAGGAGTTTGGGTTTGATATCCCACTTTATCACTACCCAAAGGAGTCTCAAAGCAGCTCACAATCTCCTTTCCCTTCCTCCTCCACAACAAACACTCTGTGGGGTGAGTGGGGCTGAGAGACTTCAAAGAAGTGTGACTGGCCCAAGGTCACCCAGCAGCTGGCATGTGGAGGAGCAGAGACACAAACCCAGTTCCCCAGATTAAGAGTCCACCTCTCTTAACCACTACACCACACCGGCTCTCTCAGGGGAAACCCAACCAAGTATGGGCAGGGTATAAATAATAAGTTGTTGTTGTTGTTACAACCAATATGGTTTTGGATAATAATAATAATAATAATAATAATAATAATAATAATAATAATAACAATAATTTATTATTTATACCCCGCCATCTGGCTGGGCTTCCCCAGCCACTCTGGGCGGCTTCCAAAAGAACATTAAAAATACTGTGATACATCAAACATTAAAAGCTTCCCTAAACAGGGCTGCCTTCAGATGTCTTCTAAAAGCCTGGTAGTTGTTGTTCTCTTTGACATCTGGTGGGAGGGCGTTCCACAGGGAGGGCGCCACTACCGAGAAGGCCCTCTGCCTGGTTCCCTGTAACTTGGCTTCTCGCAATGAGGGAACTGCCAGAAGGCTCTCGGCGCTGGACCTCAGTGTCCGGGTAGAATGATGGGGGTGGAGACGCTCCTTCAGGTATACTGGACCGAGGCCGTTTAGGGCTTTAAAGGTCAGCACCAACACTTTGAATATAGTGTTGTATAGTGTTGAATATAGCTGTGCATGTTTTGTTTTGTTGTTTTGTTTTGTTTTGTTTTGTTTTGTTTTGTTTTGTTTTGTTTTGTTTTGCTCTGTTCTGTTCTGTTCTGCTGGCTATGGAGGAAGGTCCCAAAGCCATGCAGGAGGCAGGACAGCTGACCCTCGACCTCAGGGCATTCCGCTTCTGTTCCACAAACACAGAAGCCTTTGTGTCCTGTGTCAGCCCAACTTCATCAAGCTGGTCTCCAGGAGGGCTAGAAATATGTTGGGGCTTGTTGGGTTGGTTGGCTGGCTGGTTTCGGAGTGGGAGCAGGGCTGTTAAATGGAATTTGCAGAAGGCCGAACTCAGTGCTGCCCTAGGCACTAAAACTCTGCATTTGCATCATCCTAGAATTATAGGTGCTTTTGAATTATGGTGCTGGAAGAGACTCTTGAAAGTCCCATGGACTGCAAGAAGATCAAACCTCTCCATTCTTAAGGAAATCAGCCCTGAGTGCTCACTGGAAGGACAAATCCTGAAGCTGAGGCTCCAAGACTTTGGCCACCTCATGAGAAGAGAAGACTCCCTGGAAAAGCCCCTGATGTTGGGAAAGATGGAGGGCACAAGGAGAAGGGGACGACAGAGGACGAGATGGTTGGATAGTGTCCTTGAAGCTACCAGCATGAGTGTGACCCAACTGCAAGAGGCAGTGGAAGACAGGAGTGCCTGGCATGCTCTGGTCCATGGGGTCACGAAGAGTCGGACACGACTAAATGACTAAACAACAACAACAACAGAATTATAGGGCTGGAAGGGGCAAAGGGTCATCTAGACCAACCCCCTACAGTGCAAGTGTTTGGATAATCACAAATTGCACCAATGCCATTGATGGCGCTCTCCTGTTTGGATTTTCAAAGCAATAGGGAACCTCGGGATTCTGAGAGGAGAAAGTGTGCAATGGCAGTAGACGGAAGAGACTGCTGCTTGCGTCCAAGGAGGAATTAAAGGAAGCACGAGGGGTTCATAATCCACATTAAGCTGCAGTGTGGACAGAGCCGTAGACCAGGAGGCCTTGCGTGTAGAAGGTCCCACATTCATCCCCTAAAGGCGTCTTCCAGAGAGGGCTGGAAAAGACTCCCTTGCCTGAAACCCTGGCCAGCTGCTGCCCGTCAGTGTAGACAATACTGAGATGAATGAACCAATGTCCTGACTTGGCAGCTGTTCCTCTGCTCCTAGGGTTGTGGGGCAGCTGTGTGTGTGCAGCAGCCAAAGACTCAATCGCTCATCCGCTAGATTGGTGTGGTGGTGGATGCAGAAGCAGCGGTCATGTCCGTAGTATCCAATTTCTGGCTCGACACAGAACTGTAGAGTTGGAAGGGACCCCCAGAGCCCCTGGACATGCTGTTGCCCACCCCCATGGTCCAAGAGCTGCACCCCAGCACCACCTATGGCATCCCAAGGGGTCTTGGGGCTCACCTGTCCAGCTCACACTTCCCTGGGTGCCCATCAGAAATGCCCTAGTCCTGCCAGCAGATTGGACCTTCTGCCAGCACCGTCCGCCAGCCCTACGTGACCCACTTTTTGCAGGGCAAGTTCTCCTTCCAAAAAATGATGATGATGGTGATGATATCGCAGCACCCGGCTGAGGAGCAGGAAGGAGGCTCTGCTGGCATGCTTCCTGCTCCTCTGGGGCATCTCAGATGGCTTGGCCCATGATGAGGACGCTCATGATGAATACCATGGCGAAGAAGACCCACATGAAGAAGCGGTCCATCACCTTGGCGATCTTCTTCCACTCCCCGGTCCGCCTGGAGGCCGCCTTCTGGTCCCGGAAGCAGTTGGCAATGTACTCCACGTTCCTGAGGATGCTGTGGTGGTGGCAGAGGCAGCGGCTCTTGGCGCAGGGGGCCTGATCCGCAGACTCGCCCTCCCCGCCCTCCAGGTCCACGTACTGGCTGCCCTCGCCCCAGCCGGGCTGCTCCGAGGGGCTGCTGGGCCCCTGCGAAGGAGACCGGCGGGGCGGCGCTTCCTCGCCGGGGGATCTCCCCCTGCCCACCCCCCGCGTGGGGCCCCCGCCGTTGGCCACGCGGGCTTTGGGGGCGGGCTCCGGGTCCGGCCGGGGGCTCTTGCAGCTCTCCCCCACTTCGTAGACGAAGAAGATGCGGGCCATGTACTGCAGGATGAGCTTCTTGGCCCACCTGGGGACGGGTTTGGCGCCAGGGCCGCAGTGGTGGATGTTCATGATGAAGATGGTCAAGGCGGTCGAGGCCGTGATCATGGTCATGGTGGCGATGTAGTATTTGCCTGCAGGTGGAGGGGTCGGGGAGCGGGGGGCGGACGGACAAGAGGAGACGCTCCTTTAGCACCTGAGAGCGGCCATCACACCAATCCGGGGTGCTAGACTACAACTCCCATCAGTCCCCGCCCGGAGCCTGAAACAGAGGGAGCACCAGGCTGGGGAAGGCAACATGAGACCTTCGCAGGTATTATTAATATATTATTATTATTATTATTATTATTATTATTATTATTATTATTATTATATTTTATTATTTATACCCCACCCATCCAGCTGAGTTTCCCCAGCCACTCTGGGCACCTCCCAACTGAATATTAAAAAAACAATAAAACATCAAATATAATAATAATAATAATAATAATAATAATAATAATAATAATTTTAAAAAATATTAAAATTTTAAAAACTATTACAGTGGTACCTCGGGTTAAGTACTTAATTCGTTCCGGAGGTCCGTTCTTAACCTGAAACTGTTCTTAACCTGAAGCACCACTTTAGCTAACGTGGCCTCCTGCTGCTGCCGTGCCGCCGGAGCACGATTTCTGTTCTCATCCTGAAGCAATGTTCTTAACCCGAGGTACTATTTCTGGGTTAAGCGGAGTCTGTAACCTGAAATGTCTGTAACCTGAAGCGTCTGTAACCTGAAGCGTATGTAACCTGAAGCGTATATAACCCAAGGTACCACTGTAAATTTATTAAATTTAAAAACATTATTAAAATTTAAAAAAAACCCCTGCCCTCCCCAGCCAAGACCAGGCTCAGGGTGGCTAACACCAGGTATAAAAACAATTCATTAAAATACAACTTAAAAACAAAATTAAAATACAACATTAAAATGCAGCCTCATTTCAGTAGAAGCTCAAATCAAAAACTTTTTGGGGGATGAAAACGTCAAATCTTCACGAAGGCCAACTATCCAGATCGGTCCTACGTGGGCCAGAAAAAAGGTAAGTCCCCAAATAGGAGTTCCATCAGAGAAGGAGAAAGGGAAAGAGGGGGAGGGAATCAAGTTGATTCCAAGCCAAAGGCCAGGCGGAACAACTCCGTCTTACAGGCCCTGCGGAAAGAGATCAGATCCTGCAGATGTCAACCCCAAACACGCAATATCCCTTTTTTTAGTTTCCTTGTTTCTGGGCTGGGCCCAGAGATGCCGCAATCCTCACCTTCTCCCCCCAGGGACTACTCACCGATGAGGGGCACGTTCTCCGAGGGGGGCATGCTCTCGGCCACCAGCAGCTGGAAGACGGTCAGTGCCAGGAGGACGGTCACCCCCAAGGACACCTTCTCCCCGGAGTCAGCCGGGAGGTAGAATCCCAGCGGGGCCAGGAAAGAGATCATGATGCAGGGGAGAAGCAGGTTGAAGATGTAGAAGGAAGCCCTCCTCTTGAGGTGCAGCGTGTAGGTGACGTCCGGGTAGGGCTCCGAGCAGCACCCGTAGGTGACCACGCTGCGCTTGGCCGGCATCCCCAGGACCTCCCACTCCACGTTCTCCACAAAGTCCGTCAGGTCCCCCGTCTCCTGCTTGTTCAGGATGTCAATCTGGTTGCCGTTGTAGGTCCAGGAGCCAAAGGTCAGTCGGCACTGCTGGCCGTCAAAGGGGAAGTAGGAGACGTCCACCTTGCAGGAGCTCTTGGTGATGGCCGGAGAGTCCCACATGATCTGGCCGTCCGAGTGGATCACCACGTTGGTCTCCATCGAGCCCGTGAACTGGTCATCGGCGCTGGAGGAGGGGGAAGGAGAGAAATAATTATTATTGTTATTATTTATACCCCACCCATCTGGCTGGGTTTCCCCAGCCACTCTGGGAGGCTCCCAACAGAATACAGTGGTGGTTGTTGTTGTTTAGTCGTTTAGTCGTGTCCGACTCTTCGTGACCCCATGGACCAGAGCACGCCAGGCACTCCTGTCTTCCACTGCCTCCCGCAGCTTGGTCAGACTCATGTTTGTAGCTTCGAGAACGCTGTCTAACCATCTTGTCCTCTGTCGTCCCCTTCTCCTTGTGCCCTCCATCTTTCCCAACATCAGGGTCTTTTCCAGGGAGTCTTCTCTTCTCATGAGGTGGCCAAAGCATTGGAGCCTCTGCTTCACGATCTGTCCTTCCAGTGAGCACTCAGGGCTGATTTCCTTAAGAATGGATACGTTTGATCTTCTTGCAGTCCATGGGACTCTCAATACAGTGGTACCTCGGGTTAAGTACTTAATTCGTTCCGGAGGTCTGTTCTTAACCTGAAACTGTTCTTAACCTGAAGACCACTTTAGCTAATGGGGCCTCCTGCTGCTGCCGCGCCGCTGGAGCACCATTTCTGTTCTCATCCTGAAGCAAAGTTCTTAACCTGAAGCACTGTTTGTGGGTTAGCAGAGTATGTAACCTGAAGCGTATGTAACCTGAAGCATACGTAACCCGAGATACCACTGTATTAAAAACACAAAATAGGGGGTGTCTTATACATGGGGGCGTCTTATAGACGGAAAAACATGGTAATTCCCCACATTCCAGCTCTCCTGATCCAAATTTCTACCACTTCTCTTCCCCCACCCCACAAACATGCAACATGGCGCCTCCAAGTTTTCCCATTGCAAGGCCCAGATTTTGTCCCCCAACCCCCACCCCACATGGTTAAGCAGGAGGAAAACCCTGTCCTGCAAAGATTCCTTGTTTACATGTCTGGCACACAGTTCCCCTAATGTGAGCACCGAAGAATTGCTTGCTTATCGCATTTATATCCCGGCTTTTTCTCCCTGAAGCTTGAAGTGACTTACATGGTTCTACTGCCCCCCCCATCTAATCCCCACAACAGTCCCCTGTGAGGTAGGCCTGGCAGCATTAAACATTTAAAACTTCCCTAAACAGGGCTGCCTTCAAATGTCTTTTTAAAGTCAGATAGTTGTTTATTTTCTTGACATCTGATGGGAGGGCGTTCCACAGGGCAGGCGCCACCACCGGGAAGGCCCTCTGCCTGGCTCCCTGTAACCTCACTTCTTGCAGGGAGGGAACCGCCAGAAGGCCCTCGGAGCTGGACCTCATGTCTGGGCTAGACGATGGGATGGAGACGCTCCTTCAGGCATACAGGACTGAGGCCGTTTAGGGCTTTAAAGGTCAGCACCAACACTTTGAATTGTGCTTGGAAACGTCCTGGGAGCCAATGAAGAAGGTCTTTCAGGACCGGTGTTATGGGGTCTCGGTGGCCACTCCCAGTCACCAGTCTAGCTTCCGCATTCTGAAATAATTGCAGTTTCCGATGAAGCGTCAATGCTGAGTCAGGAAAGCAGCTCTCTGTTTTCAGGAGAACATCCATTTCATTTCATTTACAGTGGTACCTCGGTTTTCGAAAGTAATCCATTCCGGAAGACCGTTGGACTTCTGAAACGTTTGAAAACCGAAGCAATTACTTCCGGAAGCATTTACTTCCAGAAAACTCAATACAGAAGCCGTGTGGCACGTTTGACTTCCGAAAAGCATTCGAAAACCGGGGGTACCACGGTACTATAATCCTACCCTGCTTTTCACTCATGTGAGTCACAAAGCAGCTTACATACAATAAATAATAACTACTATTAAGAACTATTTTAGAACTACAATAATAATAATAATAATGGTTGCGGGGTTTAGATAATCAAAATTTATGTGCTGTAAAACAGCTAATAAAAAGGAGTAGAAAACAAATATCAGGAAAGGAGGGGTGGAAAGTCAATAAGAAACTTTGTTAAAAAAATTGTATAATGATAAATGCTTTGAAATATTGTTGGAAACTTAATACAAATGATATAAAAACAATAAATAGTAACATAGTAAAGGTAAAGGGACCCCTGACCATTAGGTCCAGTCGTGGCCGACTCTGGGGTTGCGGCGCTCATCTTGCTTTATTGACCGAGGGAGCCGGCATACAGCTTCCGGGTCATGTGGCCAGCATGACTAAGCCTCTTCTGGCGAACCAGAGCAGCGCACGGAAATGCCGTTTACCTTCCCGCCGTAGTGGTACCTATTTATCTACTTGCACTTTGACATGCTTTCGAACTGCTGGGTTGGCAGGAGCAGGGACCGAGCAACAGGAGCTCACCCTGTCACGGGGATTCAACCGCCGACCTTCCGATCGGCAAGCCCAAGAGGCTCAGTGGTTTAGACTACAGCGCCACTTGCAACATATATAAAATAATGAACAAATCATCAATAAAACAACTGCCTTCTATAAATCATTAGCAAAATAACTTATAAAATGGATTAAACAGCACATCCACAAGAAGCCATTTTATAAAATTCACAGAGCGTTCCAGGACTCATAATCCACAAAACTATATGAAGAACATTAGCAGACTAACAACCAAAAACAAACTCAAGCACTGCTGAATCCAGACACTTTCTCTCCCTGCTCCCGTGACTCATAGTCTTCCACTTAGTACATCAAAAAACACCTTTGCAGAACATCTTTTAAGGGCTGTGGCGCCACAGGGGGCCTTCTGTGAAACCTACTTGTTATACAGAACAATGTCCGGCCTCCAGACGTAGCTGCTTGGGATCCGTATGGTGTCAATGCCATCGTAAGCCTCCTTCTCCCAGCTCAGGTAGGCGTCCACCCACACCTGCCGGATCCACAGGTAAGCTGTCAAGATTTGATTCCTCTCATCCTGCGAGGCAAGAGGGAATAATAATAATAATAATAATAAAATTTATTTATATCCCGCCCTCCCCAGCCGAAGCTGGGCTCAGGGCGGCTAACAACAAACAAAATAATCCAACATTCTAAAAACATTCATTATAAAATTAATTAGATCAAATTAAAATCAAATTAATGGCAATCTTCAAGCAAAATTCTGTGCAGATTGCCAGAGGAGGGGGTCAGGCTGCGCCCTGACCAAAGGCCTGGTGGAACAGCTCTGTCTTGCAGGCCCTGCAGAAAGATGTCAGGTCCTGCAGGACCCTAGTCTCTTGTGACAGAGCGTTCCACCAGATTGGAGCCGCGGCCGAGAAAGCCCTGGCTCTCGTTGAGGCCAGCCTGACCTCTCTGTGGCCTGGGATCTTTAGGATGTTTTTATTTGCAGACCGTAAATTTCTCTGTGGGACATACCAGGAGAGGCGGTCCCGTAGGTACGAGGGTCCTAGGCCATATAGGGCTTTAAAGGTTAAAACCAGCACCTTAAACCTGATCCTGTACTCCACCGGGAGCCAGTGCAGCTGGTATAATACCGGATGGATATGATCTCGCAGCGAAGACCCCATAAGGAGTCTCGCCACGGCATTCTGCACCCGCTGGAGTTTCTGGGTCAGTCTCAAGGGAGCCCCACGTAGAGCGAGTTACAATAATCCAGTCTGGAGGTGACCGTCGCGTGGATCACAGTGGCTAGGTCAGGGCGAGAGAGGTAAGGAGCCAACTGCTTAGCTTGGCAAAGATGGAAAAATGCCGCCTTTGTTATAGCTGTAATCTGCGCCTCCATAGAGAGGGAGGTATCGAAGATTACACCCAAACTCTTAACGGACGATGCTGGCACTAATTGCACCCCCGCAAGAGATGGGAGTTGCGCCCTCAATCCCATATCGCTCCGTCCCAGCCAGAGGACCTCTGTCTTCGACGGATTTAACTTCAACCGGCTCCCACGTAACCATCCAGCCACAGCTTCCAGACATCTGGTCAGTGTGTCTGGGGCTGAGTCAGGATGGCCATCCATCAACAGATAGAGTTGGGTGTCATCGGCATACTGATGACAACCCAGCCCAAAACTCCGGACAAGCTGGGCGAGGGGGCGCATAAAGATGTTAAAAAGCATCGGGGAGAGAATCGCACCCTGAGGCACTCCACACACCAAGGAGTGGCGCGATGACAATTCCCCCCAAGCGCCACCCTCTGTCCCCGTCCAGAGAGAAATGAGCGCAGCCATTGAAGGACTGTGCCCTGGATCCCCACGTCAGCAAGGCGGTGGTCCAGGAGTTCGTGATTGACCATGTCGAAGGCTGCTAACAGGTCTAGAAGAATCAGCAGCCCCGACCCGCCTCGATCCAGCTGCCTGCGGAGGTCATCTGTTAGGGCGACCAGAGCCGTCTCGGTCCCATGACCAGCGCGGAAGCCAGACTGGAATGGATCGAGAACCGATGTTTCATCCAGAAACCTACCAAGCTGTTCAGCGACCGCTCTCTCAATCACCTTACCCAGGAATGGAAGATTCGAAACCGGGCGGTAATTGGATAGATCTAAGGGATCTAATGATGTTTTCTTTAAGAGTGGACGCACCACTGCCTCCTTCAGTTCCCCTGGGAATATCCCGGTGCCAAGGGACAAATTGATGATATCACCCAGGGGGGCCCGCACCTCGTCTGGACACGCTCTAATCAGCCAAGATGGGCACGGGTCAAGAGGACAGGTGGTGGGCTTTCCAGCTTGGAGGAAAACAACCTCAGATACAGGGTGCAAGGAGCATGGCTTATGCTCTGCTTTTCTTTCAGAGTGGGGCATCGGACGGGGAATCTGGGGGAAATCAGCTTTGACACCCACCCACCCACCCTTTGCAATACCTCCTTTTTTCTTTAGAGGGGAGGAAGGAAGAGACGAAATGCCATTGCCCAATCTGTTAGAAAGTGGTTTCTAATCCTAATTGCTAAAAACTGGAAAAAAGAAACTGTGCCAACACAAAAGGAAGCGCAAGACAAACTGTTAGAGTATATTGAACTAGCTAGATTAACAGAAGCAATTAGAGATCACACTTGGCAAGAGTTTCAAAAAGCATGGGGGAAATGCAGGGAACACTTCACAAAACTGTGCCCTAAAATACATACCTGGACTTGTTTCGATTAATGTCTGCAGGAGACTTTGTGGATATTTAAGTTACAATTAGAAAATTCTTAATAATTATTCATAAAGGAAACATTTATAGGAAGTAAATAAGGAGGCCAGATACAGGATAAAGGAAGTCTTTTATTTGGTTGTTTGTATTGTTGTATGTTATGCTCATTGTATGTTAAAAGTAAAGGTAAAGGGACCCCTGACCATTAGGTCCAGTCGCCAACGACTCTGGGGTTGCGGCGCTCACCTTGCTTTATTGGCCGAGGGAGCTGGCGTACAGCTTCCAGGTCATGTGGCCAGCATGACTAAGCCGTTTCTGGTGAACCAGAGAAGCGCACAGAAGCGCCGTTTACCTTCCTGCCAGAGCGGTCCTGTTTATCTATTTGAACTTTGATGTGCTTTTGAACTGCTAGTTGGCAGGAACTGGGACCGAGCAATGGGAGCTCACCCCCTTGCGGGGATTCGAACCGCCGACCTTCTGATCGGCAAGTCCTAGGCTCTGTGGTTTAACCCACAGAGCCACCCGCATCCCAGTCATTTGCTTACCTCCCTGAAATGCAAAAGAAAGTCATATTTCATTTAGATGGAGATTGCATGAAGACTTATTAGATGATCAAAAAGCAAGATGAGTGCCGCAACCCCAGAGTCGTCCATGACTGGACCTAATGGTTGGGGGTCCCTTTCCCCTTTAAGCAAATAGCGAATGAAAGTCTCCAGTTGGGGAAAGAGAACTCAAAGCATTTCGGCAAAACAGGGCCCTTGCCCTAGCCAACCAAGACCAAAACCCCTTGCAATGGGGCGCAAGACACAGTGGATCTATCCATAGCCGTTCAGCCTCTTCCGACAAGAGTGCTCTGACCCTCGGCTGCATTTGAAGCCTCTTCCACCCGCCCTCCAAGCACCAAAGGACTCACCATGTCGATGATCTGGGACAGGGTGACCTGCAGCGTGACATTGAGAGCTCGGTCGGTATCTTCTGCCGGACGCAGCGCGTTGGAGTAGTTGGCAAACAGGTCGTTGAGCAGCTTGTAGGCAAACTTGCCCTGAGCCCCTGAGCAGCCTGGGGGAAAAGGAGGCCAAGTTGTGGGGCAGGGAGGGGGGGAGAGAGAGAACAAAGGAAAGGTCCATGTCAGCTGTTTCCAAAATAGTTAAAGGCCACCAAAACCTCAGTTCCATAAATGCCTGTGCCCCCTTCTCTACCCTATGAAGAGCAGAATGACAGTTTGCACAACCCACTAAGGAAGATAGGACGACAATAAACTTCAAAGCAGCAGCAATTTAGTTGCACATTTGTTGAAAATCCAGTTAAAACTATTTCACAGAATCATAGAGTTGGAAGGGACAACAAGGGTCATCTACAGGTGAAACTCAAAAAATTAGAGTATCGTGGAAAAGTTCATTTATTTCAGTAATTCAACTTAAAAGGTGAAACTAATATATGAGATAGACTCAAGACATGCAAAGTGAGATATGTCAAGCTTTGATTTGTTATAATTGTAATGATCATGGCGTACAGCTGATGAAAACCCCAAATAGAATATTAAATGAAATCAGCAAAACAAGGATTGCAAATAGAGCAAGACTGGACCTCTGAGAAGCAGAAGCATATCTCGCTTTGGATGTCATGAGTCTATCTCATATATTAGTTTCACTTTTTAAGTTGAATTACTGAAATAAATGAACATTTCCCCACAATATTCAAATTTTTTGAGTTTCACCTGTAATCCTAATATATAATTTTTATTAACTTTTCTAATTACATTTCAAAATATTCATTTAAACAACCTTAAATCAATGACTTCCCATCTTCTCTTTTGGTGGTTCATTTTGCATACCACACATCCCTGCATATATTACATGAACTAAACCATTCAGTAATCCATTGTTACATCCATCAAAACTTATTTATACTGTTGAATTTATCTTAGTGCTACCAGTGTATTTAAATAAACACAATTTTCACTCATATATTCAGTGAACGTTTTCCATTCTTCTTTAAACGTACATTTTCCTTGTTCTCTTATTCTATATGTTAAATTTGCACAAGGATCATTTAGTCCAACCCCTCCAACATGCCCAACCTGGGGCTCGAACCCCCAACCCTGAGTTTAAGAGTCTCCTGCTCTACCAGCTGAGCTATCCCAACTGAGCTATTTCATTTATTTCACTCAACAAAACTGATGAACTTGAAAGGGACAGTGCCCTGCTACATCCCTGCTGGAAGCATATTTCACAGCACAGTAAATTCCTGACTTTTGGACTGTGGTTTTTTGTTGTGACGTGGGGTGCCAAAAGCTGCCTCTCCGTTGATGGCCATCGCTGCCTCCTGTGGGAGTGTTAACAGAGAAATCTGAGGGCTCCCTTGGACAAAAAAACAAGGACACCATCCAGGAATACCAGAGCAAAACAGCAGCCAGTAGGCTTGGTCTTTATTGAAGACTGTCGCGACAGGACTCCCACCTGCCACAAGGTGGAACAAGATGGAAGCCCCGAACAAAAGAGCCCCCAAACTTTTATTAGCTGCTGATCCCCATGTTAGGGATGCGGGTGGCGCTGTGGGTTAAACCACAGAGCCTAGGGCTTGCTGATCAGAAGGTTGCGGTTCGAATCCCCGTGACAGGGTGAGCTCCTGTCGCTCGGTCCCTGCTCCTGCCCACCTAGCAGTTTGAAAGCATGTCAAAGTGCAAGTAGATAAATAGGTACCACTCAGGCGGGAAGGTAAACGGCATTTCTGTGTGCTGCTCTGGTTCGCCAGAAGCGGCTTAGTCATGCCGGCCACATGACCCGGAAGCTGTATGCCAGCTCCCTCTGCCAATAAAGCAAGATGAGCGCCGCAACCCCAGAGTCGGCCGCGACTGGACCTAATGGTCAGGGGTCCCTTTACCTTTAATCCCCATGTTACACACCCCCAAACTACATCACTCATACATCATGGTTACATCATGGTAAGGGGAGGTCTGGTGGCAGTAATCTGAGCTTCCTGGACCCTGCCCCATGGTTCTCCTTGCCCTTCACCAAACACCCATCGAGTGTAACAAAAGAGATATTTACATTTCCCTGTTTCCCAGCCAAGTTAATCACACCCTTTTGTCTCCATCTGGGTTTGTTATTTCCGGAATGGCCACCTGTCCGGCACTCAGGTATCAGGATCCCAGGAATGATCACTCAGGCAGAGGGGCTGCTGAGTAGCTGAGCTCACATGTCTATATGCATTTCTGAAGTTTTTCCCAGTGAGCCGGTACATAGATACATTGATCAGTGAATTCTTACATTTGGTGTCGTGCAGCAAAGGCCCTTTGAATAGATAGGAAGAAACTGTGATGAAGTGTTTTGTGGGGACAAATCACAAAAGTCACAAAAGCGATGGTGCTGATTTTGGTAGTGGGCTGCATGTGCATGGTATCTGCTGGAGGGGCAAACCCCCCTCCAACCTATACATAAACTCCTGCAACAGGAGGGAGTTCCACACATTAACTCTGTGATGCAGGGAGAAGGACTTGTTTTTTATCAGTTGTGAATCTTTCCACGTTGAGCTTCATTGGACGCCCACGAGTTCTGCGCTACGAGAAAGGTAGAAAAATGGTCCTCTCCCCATGGACAATTTTCATGTGACAGATGCCCCCCATCCTCTGCTTAAAAACCCCCAAGGAAGGAGAGTCTGCCACCTTCCAAGGGAGTCCATTCCACTGTGGAACAGCTCTTGCCACCAGAAAGTTCTTCTTGGTGTTTAGCCGGGATCTCCTCTCTTTGAGTCCATCAGAAAACAAACTGGCTCCATCTTCCATGGGGCAGCCTTCCAGAGTCGGACACAGGCTTGCCGTTGGAGGGAGGGGGGTTTGGGATCGTTAGGGTCTTGTCCCTCTCCAAGGCCATTGGGGACACACATGCACACCCTCCGCACACTCAGGCGCAGTGCGGCAAGCCTCCGCAGGCCACCTGCTCTGGATTTCTTCCGCTCACCAAGCACGGGGGTCACATTCGCAGCCCTGTCCCCGGGCAGAATCCCGCAGAGGAGTAGCTCCGAAAGGGCCGTTTGTCCAAGGGGCCTCTTCTGAGCAGTTGCAAGTGCCCCTCTGCGGTGCCTTGCAGGGTTAAGGCATTGCACATGGGTGCAAAGACAGACTCCCCACATGGAAGCCCTGTGAACACGGCGTTCGTTCCACAACATGTGCAAAGAGGATCTCTTCCTTCCTGTGCTGCAGCCAAGACTTCCCGAGTGAGAGGTCAGCCGAGGGCAGCCTGAAGTAGACCCAGTCAGCAGTCAGTATTATTATTGCTATTATTATTATTATTATTATTATTAGCATTTATATTCC